AGACGAAGCAAGAGATTTCCAATCAACAGGATATGGATTAGCGGACTCACGTATAGCTGGTAAGAAGATTCGCATGCGTGTTCGGTGAGATCAGATACGGATGGGTGGGGGAGGGGGGAGTATCAATATGTTGTGAGGTGAACAATCATCACCTCAATCCGTATCTGATTTCACCGAATACGGATGCGAATCTTCCTTACCAGGCATATACGTATCCGAATCCATATCTGTGATTGGAAAGCAGATACATATCGATATGGTAAGTATCATATCCGAGCCGTATTCAAACCATTGCACCCATACTTCCATCGCCTACGACCAAAGCAATCCCAACCCTCATTAAAACTTGGGATCAGATATACCAATTATTTAATTCTAGTAAGAGCATCTTCCTAATTAAGCTAACCACAAATAACACCCTTCAAAATTACATCTACCCAAGTTCTCAACCAAGCTAGCGTATTGCTCTCCCGAATCCCCAATTAAAGTAGTTAATTTCCCAATTCGAACAAAAAAAAACCCTGTAAATTCAATTCAAAGGCTGAGAAATAAGAACTTGCCTGACCTCAGCGGACGGCGAGGGCTTGTTCGCCGCCGAGCAGCGAACAGTTCGAGGAGAAAAGGCGGCGCCTTTCTTCGATTTTGGGGAGAAAGGTGGTATCTTGTGAGTACGGATCGAATTAGGGTTAGGAAATGAGGGGACGAGGAAGGAGATTTGAGGAGGAGATAATGCAGCCATGCCTGTTGAGTGTCTTTAATTTTCTCCAAATATTTTCTAGTTTCTCTTTTCTAGCTGGTATATTTGCGATTTTGTGAGGCTCAACAGAACACACGTCTATTTTGCACCAAAGTACCTCTAGAGTTGGTTAATTGTTATTCTATACAAAAAAAATTTAAACTCTTTTTCAAAAGAGTTAGAATAAGGATCGGTTTGGTTCTCTGTTTTTGGGTGGAAAAGAGCCCGAAAGCTGCCACAGATATCCCATCTGTGACAACTTTCGGGTAAAAACGCCTCTAAAAGAGGTGTTTTTACCCGAAAACTACTACAGATGGAACATCTGTGGCAGCTTTCGTGCTCCTCCGAAACCACCAAACGGACCCTAATAGGTCCATATTAAATCTTTGGGTAATTTTCTCAAATATCACCTTTTATGTTTTGGCGATTCTCAAACCACGCTCTTAACTTTTCCGCAAACCAGCCGGGTTTGGAGTTCTCAGAAATCACCCTTGGACTTTAAGCATTTACAAAAAACCACCTTAAAAGCGTGAACCGTAATTTTCGTTGGAAAAAGTATCCCCTGCTTAGTTACCTACCTATGTGAAAACTGTGTTTAACGCCGTCAGAAGGGTTTTTTATTTTTATAATTGTTTAAGGTTGACATTTTTATTTTATTTTATTTTTTAAGAATTCCAAATTTTAAAATAGGGTCTTGTTCTGTGACATTGAAAGTTAAGGGGGTACTTTTTTGTTGGTTGTAAAATCAAATATTAATCTTTAAACTTGTGTTTTGAGGAAAAAGCAACCCGATCATGTTACGATAAGAATCTAGTAAGTTAAATATATGATCACGAATTTTACATGACTAGCTCTTCAGTTGAAACATAGACCCGTTATTGATTAGATTGAGTTTTATTTTATATAAAAAAATCCAAAATCTAATAAAATCGGGAGATTGAGAGCGATAGTGGAGAGACCACTACTTTTAATCTCAAACGTTGATTATTTAGTAGGTGGTTATGATACAATCTAAATCTAACACTTACCATACCCCCGCGTATTACACGTTGTTCACGTGATGATGCATACCGTTCTTCCGGTGTAGGACACTCAAAATCGTCTCTCCAATTATTCCAAGACTGAGCTTATCATTCTTCTTATGAGACGGATTTTCTGACTCCATCTTTGTATTTTATTGCAGTTGAATTCCCCGCGGGTAGTCTTCCTGCTCATGCCAATGCTGGTTGTAGCCGGGAGGTTTTCTCCTCCACTTCCACTGGGCAAGTCATTAGCCCATTCCCTCAGTTTGACCAAGATCGTTCTGACGACTCCTGCCGTTTGGTCCGGGAAGGAGGGCGTCACTGCTTTCGCCAGCTCATTACAGATGTGTTTTCGGTGAAAGTCGCTGTTTTCATTGCTTTCGAAATCTGTTACAACTTCAAACGTTACAACAAGAATCGATAAAAAAGGTCGGTCTTTTTATAAGACCTCCTTGTGCAACTAAACAAAGATTACAACTTTTCGAAAATAAACACGAGATCCCGTTTTGGTGCGGTCTCGCTTGCGTGGGTCTTTGGCCTGTGACGGGGATGTTGATATCCGTGGACCACCGGGCAATCAGATCTGTTCCGGATAAATCGGACAGAGTTTCGTCGATCCGCGTGAGATCTAGAAACTTCTAATCCAGAAATATCCCACGCTCTTAACTTTTCCGCAAACCAGCCGGGTTTGGAGTTCTCAGAAATCACCCTTGGACTTTAAGCATTTACAAAAAACCACCTTAAAAGCGTGAACCGTAATTTTCGTTGGAAAAAGTATCCCCTGCTTAGTTACCTACCTATGTGAAAACTGTGTTTAACGCCGTCAGAAGGGTTTTTTATTTTTATAATTGTTTAAGGTTGACATTTTTATTTTATTTTATTTTTTAAGAATTCCAAATTTTAAAATAGGGTCTTGTTCTGTGACATTGAAAGTTAAGGGGGTACTTTTTTGTTGGTTGTAAAATCAAATATTAATCTTTAAACTTGTGTTTTGAGGAAAAAGCAACCCGATCATGTTACGATAAGAATCTAGTAAGTTAAATATATGATCACGAATTTTACATGACTAGCTCTTCAGTTGAAACATAGACCCGTTATTGATTAGATTGAGTTTTATTTTATATAAAAAAATCCAAAATCTAATAAAATCGGGAGATTGAGAGCGATAGTGGAGAGACCACTACTTTTAATCTCAAACGTTGATTATTTAGTAGGTGGTTATGATACAATCTAAATCTAACACTTACCATACCCCCGCGTATTACACTCATTCCTAATTTGCACTAAAAGAAAAAATCATAACCATCAACTAGATAATCAATGGCTGTGATTATGTAGTGGCCCCTCCACGGCCCCTCCACTATTTTTTTGTAGTGGAGAGGATCCGAATCCCCTGTCACAATGTTCATTTTTATTTTTATTTTTTTCTGCTTCTCTCATTATCCATGTTTTGAAATTTTCCCCTCCCTGCGCTTCCAATTAAGTTTTGTGATATATGCGCTCATGATATGAATGAACCATGTATATATGACGAGTTATTTGTAATTTTCAAAGCCTACATGTTATGTTTATTTAACTCATTAATTGCTTGGATTTTTTTTTTTTAATCATCATCTCGTCTTCAATAGTAAAACCTTCAAATTCTCACAACCAATGATTATTTTATCCCCGCAATATTTGTCTTCGTGGTGTACGTGCAAATCTTTCTCTGCACAAAACATTTCACGTACGTACGTTTGGTTGTTACCATCAAATCTTGGCAATTTCCACGTACAGATAGTTTCACTCCAAATAAAATCATGACACAACAAATTAAGGGCTCCAAAAATCAAAACAGTAGAAAGTAGATAATTAAATACAGGAGCAGGCGCAAACAACAGGGTGTTGTACAAATTTTTGGGACTCTGCGCTCTCACTTCACTTCTTCAATCTCATCCAGAGCGTAGTTGTTCGTAGAGACGCCGGCGTAGTTAACCTTGCTGAACCTGACCACCACCGGGTACCGAGTGTTTGGGTCCTGCCAGATTTTATTTTGCGGTGAAGAACCGAGAATGCATAGCGAGGTAAATAAAATTTTATGTTTGGTTAATTACAGCTGATATATATATTATATATATATGAAAAATATGGATATGCTTGGTACCATAGTGAGGTGACACAATCTCCTCCACTCATTCAAATGGAAGACCACATTCACATGGGTTGAGGAGTGCATAGAGATATGCAAACATTTGAATAAGTACAGGAGATTATGTCACCTCACTACCAAGCATAACTTTTTGTGCTTGGTACCAAACATACCCATCTCTTTCTCTCTCTCTCTCTCTCTCTCTCTCTATATATATATATATATATATATATATATAGTATATATATAATATATATATATATATATATGTACTGATCAACAGTCACAACTGATTCCGGTGCCGTTGTGCCAATAGGATTCCCTCCTGAGGATCTTCACCTGAGAATCGATTATGAGAAATGTCAATAATTTTATAACTGTATTGTGTGTGATAGATTATTGTGCGTAATGAATTACCTTTGTGCCCTCTGGGGCCGATGGGGGGAGGAGGAGGCGGCGGCTTGGCGGCCTCTTTAGCCGGCCTTCTCGCCGCAGGGGGGCAGGCTCGGCGCCGAGGCCTCTTCGGCTGATCTCACCGCAAACCTTCCAGAACGAGAGTGGTTCTTATTGAAGAAGGACACGGAGCTGGCTCTTGATGATGATGATGATGATGATGTGTTTGTGTTGTTTGAGAGGTTGGAGGTGAGCGCAAAGCTTGAGGCAGCTGAAGCTATGCTTGAGGTTGCCATAGAGCCCCCCCCTCTCTCTCTCTCTCTCTTTCTCTCTCTCTTCTCTAACTTTCTCTCTCTATATCTTTATTCGTGTTTTGGCTGGGATAGAAAAAGAGAGGGTGATATTCTCCGCTCAACTCAGCGTGGAGTTGATGGTATGGGATCATTTCATCCATTCGGGTGAAGACACGTGGCGTTCTATCCTTAAGGGATGGATGATACCAGCCCAGGCTCATTCTCCAATTTTTTTTTTTTTTTTTGGACCAGCCCTAATACTGCCAATGTGGTTTTATTTTGGCGAGCGGACTCCAGGTGAAATTCTTTCGACTCTTCCACCCCTGAAAGTAGAAAATAATTTTCACCTGGGTTAAAAAGCACAGGATAATAACAACTAACTGCGAAAGGGCAAACTTCACTTGGGGATTGTATCTGCCAAAACGAAACTACATGGATGATAAGTTCCCGAACAGAAGGTCGATGTGTAATTAACCGAGATAACGGACCGCTTGACATTAGCAAGAGACTCCTATAGAATAAATTCATTTCCAAACATAAACTCGGGGATATACTGATCATAATCATGGATTTGTATGATAACCATAACCAACATTTCTCTCCTGTTACTCATAAATCATATACTCGAATGTCACAATTTTAAGAGCACACCATCAGCCTACAAGTCAGCTTTATCACGAAAACATCCGCAAAGGATCAACCAGAAGTTGTCGTAAAAGGATACGAGACTCTTAAAGAATCTCAGAATGCTAATCTACACATTCTTTGCAGTGATACCAATATACTACTTACTGTACATCAGGTTTGCTACAACAAATACGTTAGCGCTCCCAAATACTAACAAAGGAAACTCTCGAAAATGAGGGGACATTACATAAGCTTCCAAATCTGTCGCAAAACACCTAAAAGAATCACTAGTCCCACTTGTGTACATAAATTTTACACTCAGCAGCGATATCCAACACTGGAAAAACCAACTCACTTGTACAAACACCAACCGGGCACACATTTTACACTGTACAAATACACATAATGAATAAACAACACAAATGCCACTTCACTCACCAAACAACGCCCAAAAAATGAACCAATATAAAATCTTCAATGGTTAGCATCGATTGCTGTGCCAGTCCTTGCCTGAGAAATTCTGTTAGCGTAAATAGTTACCAACCTCAGCTGAGTACTGCTAAGCCCTTCTAAATATGGAAGGAATGTCTGGCCAAGCATAATGTAAATATCCACCAAACAGAAGACCACAGTCTGCAAGAACCCAATAGGAAATTGTGTTATAACCAATGAGGTTTCGTCCGAAGAAATTTGATCTCATCAACACTGTCATTACTACAATCTGCTTTCATAACCATGACCAAGATAAAATATCTGCATTCTGATGAGACGAACAGGGTCTGCCAGAATTCTAGTTATTATCAAACAGCACCCAAGATGTTTATGCTTCCTCTTGCTAATGAAATCGGTAAATTATGCGTAAATGAAGTAATAAAGAAATCGGGCACAGGATCTATCTTGTTGCCAAGCCAAAAAGATGTGTTTGAGCGCAGGCAGAAACATGCTTCTTTCTCATTTAAAAATTGTGGGAAGGAAGTTAGGCTTCAAGGTATGTATATGTTTTCAAGCAACAAACTTAATTGTGGTTCAGTGTCAACCATTAAATCACCCTACGGTTTTAAAAACTTCGAAAGGAAAAAGAAAGGAGATTGTTTTAAAAAGGCAGAAGATGAGATACTTGCAAGTTGCTCCCATGGATATATGCATGATCGCATTTATATCTGCATATAAGGCAAGTAAAAGTTGATCTAAAATATTAAACTGATGAAAGCTTATACAAACACATTATGCGTCTTAGATTTTCAGCACTATTTATGCTTGCATATACTCCCATCTCTTATCACCAACCTCCGCTCTGAGTTTCCTTTTATGCAGAGACCAAGTTTTCATCTTCTATCAGCCAGGGGATGTGATGCTATTCTCTTGTCTGCATTATCCATGCTCATACTAGGACCTCACAATATGTTGTACAACTAAAATTGGAGGCATGGATATCATAAAGGAACATAAGACAAACCTTACGAACATCTGGACTCTGGCTCCCGAAAGCATCAAAAAGTGCAGGCAGAAATGAAGGCAATTGTGTTATCAACTCCTCTTGTGAAAACCGACCAACAAGCTGAGATGAAAAAAAAAACATAATCAGTTTAAGTTGGATTCCTATGAAACGAATCATAAAGACTCTATTTTTAGTTAGAATATTAGGTATCAGCCAAATGCTTTAGGTACACTTTAAAGTTTAGACGATAATACATATTAAACCCAAACAAAACCAACTAAGATAATAAAAATTACTCCAGCCTATAGCTGAATTTCTGAACTTTTGCACTGGAAAATAATGCCAAGATATTGATATCACCACGCAGCACAGGAACAAAAACCGCTATAATGTAATGATACAGGGACGTTATACTTCCAAGTGTACAAAGTGCTATGATGCAATGCTGGTTGAAATTTGAACACTGATGATAATGCATGATATTAAGTCTTCCAAGGTTGTAATTTAAGGTTGTATATATAGGTAATAATGTTCTTTCGACCAGATAAGCAAGTGAAAAAACAATGATATTTCTATTTAACCTACAAGATCTCGCTCAATAACAACAGTTTGCGGCTTGTTTTTGTATGGTTAAACAGGTTTACGAAATAAAAGTATGAAATAAAATTAAAATAAAGACTTTGATCAGGAATGCTTTATATTCCATGTTTCTACCAGTACTATGTGCAAGAGGTTGTTTAGTGAGATAGGGCTTAGATTTCAGAGAAATGAACTATAAGCTTAAAACACACCTTGGTCAAACAGTTGATGCAAATAACAAGGGTCTTCTCATCATCACTGGCTAATAAAGGAACAATAACCTGCAGCATTTGCAAACAGGAAATCAAAAGGCATAAGTTGTTTGGCTTTGACTAGTGAATTCATTTATATGTTGCATCTGAAATTCACATACAGTAAGACATCGAAATGGATCATATTGAGCTAAGAGAATGGTCAGACATTGGTGCGCTTCATTTGAGACCTGTAGCAAAAACAGCAAGTTAACAAATGAAGAACCATAAAACAGACAGAAGCTAAAGCAAGAAAGAGAAGTATCCCACCTTCGCATTCCCATCTTTAGATGTGTGTAATAACTTTTCAGTAACAATCTCAACCGAATCTTCCATTGCCTCCTTCTGCTAGTAACTGAAAAATCAGCACACAAGGAGAGAAGCCAGGAAGAAGGGGGAAAACTCAATGAAGAAGAATTAGAAGAATGGACATCTACCAAACCTGATTCTTGAGCATTTCAACAACCAAAGAAAGAGCAAGTTCCTTGGTGGATAAATCAGGGTCATCCAATACTTCAAGTACTGCCGTCAAAATTTGGTTGAAGTACTGCAGTAATATCATCAGCTGTCAATCCTTTATTCGTCCATGAAAACATACTAAAAATTGACTTGCCTACTCAAGAGTGCTAAGAAAGAACATTGGCAAAAATAAAGACGTGGGGTGAAATGAAATACAAAATTGATGTGTACTAAAATTTGCCTTCATCTACATACCCACTAACAGTCCAAATGACGCACAAACTTTTAAAAAAAATTTAAATCAAGATAAAATATATCTACATTGAATCCAGTCAGTGCTTCTAGTAACATTCAATTAGGTTAAGAAACAAGGATCGTTTTCCCAGGATTAGTCACAAATGTAAACACAAAATATTATTGATCAATTAGTCGTCTAATGTCACATAGATTGAAGTCTGCTTCATAATTTTCCAAGTAAATGCACCATGGAAACTAAAGTAATGACGGACAGATGGATGGAAAGAAACCTGTGATGTTTTACCCCAAATTTTTAAATGTTCAGAGAATCTAGTCAATTTCATTCTAAAGAATTCAAGGTGTCTTTGCATGTTTTGCATGCAACTACGGAGCATTTAATAAATGATAGAATTTTTAATGCAAAGTTTAGGTTTCTCCTGCTTTCGAATGCACATATATGATCAATCTTCAGTTTTCAGATACTGGGGTAACAATGCATGAGGCTCAGCCGAGTTGTTCAAACTACAGACTAAATACTAGCAAACTCTTAAGTATCAAGATTTGTTACAATGAATCATATTGACTATAGACTAAACAACTTTCCATCATCACTGTCTATTTCAATGTAATCAAATTGAATGGATCTGGCGTTCAATTTAAATGTACTATCAATAGATAATTTGGTTTCAATTCCTTGTCATCTCTCACTACAGAGTGATATGCAAATATTCCAAAGCAATGAAAGGCATGTGCATCACATACAAGGATAGGAAATAAGAGCAACGAAATATATAGCAATTTCATCTTTAAACTTTAAGAAAAGGCAGTAAGAAAAACATATATGAAGCCAAGAAACATCATATGCAACAGCAACAGTCACCAATGTTACCTTGGTCCATACAGAGGTATTTTTGATAATTGACGCTTCAATCAACTGCTGCAACGCCTCCCGTTTACTTAAAGCTGATGTATCATCACTACCAATGCAAATCTGCAGAAACTGAATATTATTAATTCACACCGGCAATATATCTAATACATCATGGACATCTAAAAATGGACTTTCTTTTGCAAGACCGCAGAAAGAGTTTAAAATTACCCGATGAAGAATCTGTGGAATACATGGCCCATTATCAACTTGAGAATTGTTCTTAGCAGGATTAAGCTGCTCACATGCAAGCTCCTTATCTTGGATACTTTCATTACTAGGACTCAATCCAGTGGCCCTTGACCCGTTATAATTCAAAAGTTTATTAATATCTAGTCGAGGAGTTCCTGAAGGACTGTCATGTTCTATACTTTGGTCAGATTTTTCTATGACATTCATCCATGTCATCGTACTCTCTACTGAGTTGTTAGCATTGCACGTCATTTCCCTGCTCTTTTGACCAACAGCATCTGCATCTGTATCAAAGTTAAGTTCAATGTTTTGGTATGGCCGGCGAATGTCATCAGATGTTGCCTGGCCAATTGAGACATCGAGAGCTGGTTCCTGCATGGAACTCCACTTCCTTTCACCTTCACTATCAACTGAACCTGCTGAGTATCTGCCAAAAAGTTGACTTTTTCTCGACGTGCCAATGTAGCCTTCCTCAGAAGATGTTCCGGTGACATCGGACTGATCATAAAATGATTTGGAACGTTGACGTTCTTTCTTATTCTGCAAGAAGTTCATCAGATCAACTTCTATACGAGGAGTATACTGTTTAAGTGCTCGCCGCAATGAGTTCTGTTCTTGAACTGACAAACTAAGAATAAAGTTCAAGACTGCTGTTGAATCAAAATACGAGTAAACAGAAATAATTCCAGAAATAGATGCTTCTTTTAGTTTTGTATTTTTATCATATACTAAAGGTGCCAATTTAGCGAGCCATAGCTTAAGAAACCCGCTATTATGTTGACTATCAGAATTTGCTGCATGCTTGTTGAAGGAGTTATTTGCAAAATCAATAACAGCCAACTTTGCCTTCGGAGACCTCTGTTCATCAAGGGACCGTAAAAGAGCAGGCAACAGAGAATCAATACTGTAAGTTCTGCCAACAATTTCCAACGTTGTTGCGCAAGGCTTCCTGACCAATTCCTTTGGGTCAATCAATCGAGAAAACACAGACGGTAAAATCCTTTCAATATAACTTTCAAAAGGCTTTCTACAGGCTGGAATAACCTCTGCAAGTGTTTGAAGAGCTGCCTGTGCAACTTTATGGTGAGGATCGTCTAAGTGTCGAAAAAATAACTTCATAACCTTGTCAAAATTCTGAGTAACTTCTTGAACGCCTCTTGATCCTTGTTGCAGCAAATTTCGGAGATAGTTAAAAGCAGAAACTCTAGCAGCCCAATCCGAGTTGGCAGTCAAACCCTCAGTGAGTGCATCATTCAAGGATGCTGGGCCATCAACAAATTTAAACATTTCAGCAAACGATGACTGGCTATCATCGAAACTGTTTCTACCACTTGCTGAAACTCTTCCTGTAACCTGCCTTCTAATAAGTGGTCTCTGAAAATTAGGAACATAATGACTATGTGAATCTCTAAAGACGGAATCCTTATAGTGTGTGTCCACGAATTGTTTTTCTGTCTGCATATTCGTAAAACGCCTCGTCGATCTGATATCATTATTTTCTTCAATACTTACATCTAGTGATCTTCCAGAAGATTTTCTAACTGTGGCCAATGACAAAGCAGATGGAGAATCAGATGACAGATTCCTTTGGTAGGATGACTTGGTTGAGTCGTTTAAAGCATGGTTCTGAAGACAAATGAGATCAGTTAAATCTGAGCCTCCATTCCTTACTGCACCTCTTGTAATATCACTGACAGCTGAATCGAGTGAATTCTGTGAATAGAGATTACTTGAACCAGAAACTGCACTAGGAAATAGCGGATCGCGGGCAGATGGGGTGTCAAATCCTGCACTAGGACCAAAGGAGAAGAGAGAATAAATCTTTAGCTCATTTAGAGGTTCAGCATTATGGATAACAATGTTACTGCTACATTACAAAAGCATATATTGGTCAAAGTATTCAAAGATGCTAACATCAAAAAATATAACATATATAATTACCAATAGGTCTAAGCATCCTAACCTATACCTAGATCCAAGCTGGTTGACTGAGTAATTGAGGACTTCGATTTATCAGATAGGTTAACACCTCTTAGCAAACTTTCAATTGCAGACACCTTTTGTTTGCTGGCATGCAGCATGGTTTCAAGATCTCTCTCCACAGAATTCCCAGATGTCTTCGACTGTGATGAAAGACGAGAGCCTGAGGACAAAGATACTCCAGATGCAATAGCAGAAGTCTTGTCCATTGCAACGATTGCGGAAGTACCATAACCAGGAATATATGATGTAGGGGAATGAGATGGAGCCCGTGAAAGCTGCCCTCCTCTTTCGCGAAGTGAGGGGGAAGCATATCTTTTGTGCAGGCCTCCATCTTCGTCATTAATTATCTGCAAATACTTTCATCGTGTAAATAGAAAATATAGAAAGCTAGAACAAATACTTCCCTGCAGTGGCATACCCTTTGTATGACAGGATCAAAGGACAAAAAAAGGCGACGAGATCGCTCTGGCCAAGTTTTAGTGAACATCCGGTAGCATGTCCGAGCAGTTGAGCGAACCTATATCGTGTATCACAATATTATTTAGTTCATGTTTCTAAAGAAAATCAGGAATCATACAGCTCAGAGAGCAATCTTATATACAAGTATATATTCATGGGCTGAAAGAAAGTTTATATAGATGATAGAAACAATAAATGCAACAAAGCCTTTATCTCGATTATATGGGGCAACTGCACACGTCATTCTTCTGTTCACCTCCATAAATTGAGCCGTCCACCCAAATTACCATGATCTATGCTCCCTTTGGCTCAACCCTATTTCTAATCACACTCTCATTACAATCTTGTCATTCACCCTAACAATGCACTAATTGGTCTTGCTGCACACGGGCAATTGCCAGACTTGCTGCACATGTCCAACGCGCTTATAGATCTTGCTGCACGTCCAACCATCTCAGGAGATTCTCCTCAACCAGAGTTGTGTAGATGTTAATGATAACACCAGTTTTAAACCTAGTCTTTTATTGTATTGTGACTTGTCAACATCAACATGCTTATTTTGGCTACAGTTTTTCTTCCATGTATAAATGGTGACATGATTATAAAAGCCTGACCACATCCAAACTGACACACATATCTGTATGTCTCAATAAAGCTATTCAATTCTTCATTTGAAATGAAAATGACTAATATACAACTCGAAGAATAAAGAAAAAATGAATATAAAGATTATGATGAAAAAAATCCATATAAACGTATCAAAGTTATAACAACCTAATATTTTGCAACATTTACAATATATAGTTATAAACTTATTGTATGGGAACAATGGGTTCATGAATGAAAAAAATGTACCCACACTAAACCATGAATGCATACACACAATGTATATATGAAAGCACACTATCAAATCTAAAGCCTAGCATTTCTTGCAAAAACAAACATGTGAAGTTTAATGATAGAAAATATTGATCAGCAAACAGAAAAAAATACACTGCTGGTACATCGAACGAGACTAGGCAGTGATGACCCAAGCAAACTTGCACCCAGTTTTTATACAACATATGCATGAAATTTAGATTGAGGATAATCAAATAAAACCTATACCTCACTCATAGCATCTGCAACACAGCACTTTATGAGATCTTCATAAACATCAGCTGATCTCTGTATTTCTGGAGCATCGGCCCAGTACTCGAGTATTAGCAGTGCATACTCACAACACCTGAGAAAGTGTGACATATAGTGGACTAAGGATGAAAGCAACAAGCACAAACCTAACTGAATTAATTTTTCTTACCTAGCACGAAGAACTGCATTTCGGTCATTCTTTGCAGAATCAGCTATGCGAGGAAGAACACGTGAAACCTTGCAGTTGCGCAACATCTGGGATACTCAAACATCAGTAAAAGTACAGGATCAAATCATTAAGGGAAGTGCTACGAGTTCATACCGTCTTTATGCAGTTGTCAGCGGACTCAGCAATGACAAGTACAGTTATAACAACAAGTTTAAATAACACCTAAAACACATTAATTCATAGGTTAATAACTATTTTCAGAAAACTTAAGCTAACAGCCACATACTAATCAGCACAGTGATATTACCGGTATGAACAACTCTGCACAGGCCTCAAAGTCCCCCAAAAGTTCCTTAGATAATAAGTTTAGAAGATGACAGGCCTATAAAAAAGTACAGATCAGACAATAGCAAAAAAGTATTGAATAATTCCCCTTGATGCATGCCTTTCAAAGCCTCAAGAGTATTCAGCATTATATCCAGCCTTCTTGGTGAAAAACAAGACAAGCACAGATATACCAACAATATAAAAGCCAAAAAAGAGAAAAGAACAAGGGAATGACATCAGACAGAGGAAAATGCTAATTGCCTTTCAATGATGAAGAAATTGTCATGCAAATATTTCCACATAAGTTCAGACAACTGTTATAAAATATTGAAGTGCGAGAAATGTTCAGAGTACAGCTTCCACAACAGTCTAGATTCTCTCTAGCAAGAATGAACGTTCAGCAGAATTCATGTAGCCCTCGTCGAGAATGATTGCATTGAAACAAGACTTGGAAAAGGCACTGAGCAAACACCGGTATCTGCCTTAGATGGCTTTGATTGATTTCCACCCTTTTTCTTAGATTAAATGACTTTCCCCCCTTGGATTGAGTTCTTCCGACTTCCTTGTTGAACTTGAAGACTGCTCAACTCCTAGCTTAACCCAGAACAAGACTATATAAAACAAGTGTCAACACCCGGCCCCTGTTAAGCAAAACACCTTGCCTTTTAAGGAGGACGGGTTCTGATGTATGTTGCTGGTCTAGAATCAACAAATGTTGATGAAAGCATTGATGTTGGCTTAAAGTCCTTGGAGCAATGGGAGAGGGCCCAGTAGAGAGAACAGTAAGGATAATGAGCGCTCTACCAGCCAAGCAGGCAGCAGGAGCAGCTGGCAAGTGCTTGGTAGGCCAACAGCTCAGTGAAGCGGGTAGTGCACTCGACAAAAGGGGGCACACTGAGCAAGTACGAGAAATTGGCCCCGCTCCACTTTCTTAAAAAAAAGCAAGGATTACTACGGGAAGGCAGTCCTATCTTCTTACTATATTCTTAGGAACCCAGATATTGTGGGGAAAACTCGAGCTACAAGGCGAGTTTTTGGACCTCGATGTAGAATTGGTTAGTTGTGGTAACTGGCCTGGTTCTGGTACGGATCATGGTAAGTTTCCTGGTGCTATTCTCCTTCTTTCTCTTGTTAGTGCTCTTGGTAAAAGACAAACTATACATAATAAAGGGAGTGCTTCCTGGAAAGAAGCACAACCAAAGAGGACCGAGTAGTTCCTTACTCTCTGCCATAGCCTTCTTCCCCCTCTTTCCAAAGGTGCGAAGCATAGTGTAGCAGCATAGTGGTTCTCTGCTAACCCCATCCGGGCGGGGCGGGAAGCTATCTGTCATCATCATTTTCGGTAGGAAAAAGAGACGGACTATCTAATACCAGTCCTAGGTGGTGATTCAATTGGATGAATTTGCCAAACCAAGGTCAACGTACGTAGCGTAGCAAACCAATCATATGCCTCTTTCTCATTCTCGCTCGGAAGCCAGATCTCGCTTTTCTCAATACTAAAGTACTGGATCTTCTACATAGTTTATTGACTTGTCAAATCGGAACCAACCACCACTCCTTTCTTGCTTGTCCGGCTCTCAAAGAGTTGAGTGGGCGCTGGCCAGCAACTTCCTTGCCTGAGAATGGAAGAGGGCATAGATTCATTCTTCCTACCTACTCCAACCTCACAACCCTTAGCAGGTTGGTCAGACGGAATGGGACAAAGAAAAGAGAGTGCTCGGTCGGAACAATGTCAAACCATAGAACATAGCTCCTTTTGATCGAACCAACCGGAAAGAAAGACGACCTTACCTTATTCGTAGATAGTCTCAGTGAGAGCTACTGTAGTCTCCCCAGTTAACCTTCTTTTATAGATAGAATCTTAAATGAGTGAAAAGAACTCCCATACTTGCTTCGCAATACGAGCCTCATATAGAGTTGTTCCCTTGTGATATGATAAGAAGAAAAGGTCTGACAACCCTCTTTTCTTTTCCGCACCAGCCCTAATTGTCAAATCTTTTCTTTTCCGCACCAGTCCTAATTGTCAAATCGGGTATGTAGCTCAGTTGGTAGAGCATTGGGCTTTTAACCTAATGGTCGGAGGTTCAAGTCCTGCTATACCCAAAAAAACCACTCTAGTATTCACAAGGATGCATAGTAGCGTTCAAAGAGCACTCTTTGGCCTTGAGATGTGATCGATCATGGGGCTTCCCTCTACCAAGAATATAGAGAGGATATTCCGCTTTTACTCAGTATACATATTTGAATTAGTCAAAATAGAACTAGACAAATTCACTCCCGGATTGGAAGGAGGAAAGTCAGTCTTTTAGGCCTACCCCACATTTTTCTTCTACGAGGGACGAGGGAAAGGCGGCTTAGGATTCTCAGACCCGACCAGAGGTGCTTTCTTCGTGAGGAAAACTAAACCTTTATGAGGTGTGCATGGCTCAAGGCGCGCATGGGTTGACTTTCTTTCTAAGAGTTGGGAGCGAAGGAACGGAACTGGAGGATCCAGATTCAATGACTTTGTAGTTCATACTAGGTACAAAGGCCTAATCCAACCAGCAAGCAAAAGGGAAATTTGTTCAGGAAACCAACATAATCAGTTCAGATTTGTAAGGTGCTTTCTTCGTGAGGAAAACTAAACCTTTATGAGGTGTGCATGGCTCAAGGCGCGCATGGGTTGACTTTCTTTCTAAGAGTTGGGAGCGAAGGAACGGAACTGGAGGATCCAGATTCAATGACTTTGTAGTTCATACTAGGTACAAAGGCCTAATCCAACCAGCAAGCAAAAGGGAAATTTGTTCAGGAAACCAACATAATCAGTTCAGATTTGTAAGTGAAAGAAGCATGTAGCAAAGCAAGGAAGTTTGCACCACTAATATCTTAATGGAATGTCGCCTCTGTCGTTGCACAAGAAGAAGCTCTTACCAGTGTGATCTTCTACAATGAAGAATACCTGATGAACGAGAAATGGCTACCTCACTTAACTTTCCTAGCTACCAAGCCCCTCTTCATTCAAATTCAAACCTTTGCCACTTAACTTTCCTAGCTACCAAGCCCCTCTTCATTCAAATTCAAACCTTTGCCAGAAGGACGAAAGAAAGGAAAGATTCTCTGTGAAACCGCTTGAAGAACAAGAACGCGAGTTGGAGTGAAAGTCTTTAACAAGAATAGCTATAGCAACGGTAGTACTTACGCCAACACCTGACGAGCTTAACAAAACCTTCTACCACAAAAAGAAGAGTTTGACTTGGGCAAGTTCATGATATGAAGATTTTTTATATAATGAAAGGCCCTACTAAGACAAGTCAAGAAAAGGACTTAAGACCATCAAGAATCTTACTTTTCTCCAACGGTTTATCAACACAACTGGGATTGGGGTGTATAATAACCTATTTTTTGAGTATGCCCGGCAACAACTCCTAGGTCAATTAAGGATCAAATGTTGAATCCTCATGGGTAAAGAAAACGTAATAGAATTGATAGAGAAATTGGGTGGATAGGAGAATTTATAAAGGGAATAGAGATGGTGATAGAGATCATACCGAGAAACAAAAGAATTTTGTGCAAGTACAACTCTTATTTGAATAAAGTGCAAAAAATTCGATCTTTTTCGTCTAATAGACAAAGACTAACACCTTAATTGAGTCGGTAAATATAAAATTTGTTTATCAAAGTGCTTCTCTGATTGCCCAAGATATCTCTTTTCAACCGAGTAACAATCATATCTCATTTCGTTCCATTTTGAGTAAAATAGTAAAGGATATTCCTTTAATAATGCCAAAAAGGGTGGAGGGGATACGTATTTGTTGTTCAGGTCGATTAGGAGGTGCGAAAATAGCTAGAACTGAATGTGGAAGTGTGGAAAAACATCTCGTGATGTATTTAACCAGAAAATCTGTTATGCTCCTTTACTATATATCATATCACAGGCAAAAAAAAAAAAAAATCGTTTACAATTCCGCTAATCCTTTGCTCTAACTAGTCTTAAACGAAAGAGAGATCGATTCATTTACCTGGAGTACTAGACTTTAATTCCTCTGCAGTCTTAGGCTTTTGAGCTTTTTTCATTCAAAGCCGGATGCTTGCTAGACTAATAACCAGAGAGGGAAAGGAGGGTTCAGCCACTAGACTTAAGACTAAACTAGTGCAATGAAAGTAAGTAGCTTTATGCTTTGTGAATATGACTCTCGCTAGGCAATCAGAAATTCCTCCTCTGCCTTTTAGGATAAGATACCATGGCTTTCAATTGCAGTACTGGTCATTAGCGACCGAGCTAGGAAAACTCCAAAATAAAATCGCAAATATGTGATCGATTTCATTTAAGATGCCATTGTCGGGTCCACATTCCGTGAAGGCCTTTCCCACTCTTGCCAAAGGGTTTCCATTAAGTATCAGTTGAATCAGTTTAGTTCTCTTTTAAAGCCCCTTCTCTCTTCCCCTTAACCTTACTTTCTATTCTGGCTATAGAGCTCTATAAATGCCATGAATCTTAGCTGAACTACTTGGCTTTGGCTAGACTCAAAGAACTGGGTCACTGAACGAACTCCCTTTTTAGATAAGAAGAGTTCCCTTCCCTATAAGATGGACTACATGTTCTGCAAATTCTCAGATATAGAGCACACTCCGCCAACTCCATGAACACGAGTCTGGCACTGGGACAATCCAAATGGAGTCTCTGCCGGATTGAAAGTGAAGGGGCCCGCCCACCACATTCCCCTTCCCCTGTTCCATGGCTGAAACAGCAGGGCCTTGCCTTGCTGTATTGCCTTATCTGAGAACAATGGCGACGATTTTATTTCTTCTACCGCGCAAGAAGACTACAAATGCAAGATTGACGACTCGCCTTTGTTTTGTTTGCTCTACCCCAGGATGTTGGCTACCGTGTACAAAGATTGTCAAAGGCTCGCACGTGTTCTATCCAGCATAGTTCTACTTATTCTCTACACACCTGTGCTCGGCCGGTTTCACCTAATATTGGATTTTAACCAATGACTCTCCTCGTATGAAAGCGATACTCTAACCACTGAGTCGAGTAGGCTAAGCTGAGTCAAGTCAGAGAAAATAGATTAT